GTGAATACAGGGATTAGAAAAATGTAATATATTTTCCTTTTTTGATGTTTTAATTCGCTGTGGAATACGGTTGGCAACAATAGTTGGAAAAGAGTAAACGACATATGCCATGTTTACAACAAGGATATTTTTCAAAGCTTCGGATTAAAAATCAAGTATAGTGCATATTTGGTCCAGATAAGCTGGGAAGGGAGGCCATACGTGATCACAACAAACCCCACCTGATTACAGGTGGGCAAATACTTCACATAGTATTTTTGGGGTTTCCCGATGCTCATATTGGGGGATATCTTCACCCCTGATATACAATATTGAAAACGAATTTCAAAAGTCAAATAAATATTTATTACTTGCAGATTTAGAACAATAGAATATGATGAATATCACTTCATAATTCTGAGTTAGATGAATATATGTAGTTAAGATAAATTTCCCTTCATTGAAATTGCTTTGTGTATAACTACAGTATTGAATTGGATTTAAAAACTTATGCAGATTTAAGTACCTTGCAGATTTAGAGCAATAGAATATAATAAATATCGCTTCACAGTTCTGTTAATTGAAATTGCTTTTTTTATTGCTACGACATTGAATGGGATTTAAAAGCTTTAAATACATATTTCTCACTTGTAGATTTAGAACATTATGATGAATATCAGTTCCTAATTCTAACCGTTAAAATGGCTATTGATTTTATTACAATATTGAATATGATTTGCCGCAACTAAATATTTCTCAGTTGCTGATTTAGATTAATAGAATATGGTTGTCTTGTAGTTATGACTGTTAAAACTGTTATTTGTGTTATTTAGGAGTTATTATAGGGGGGGGGGAATCTCAACTGAACTTTTGATTGGAAAATGCCAGTAAACTAATTTCTGCAAGTTCATGGTGCAATTTTAAAATTGCCCCTAAACCAGGAACTAATGGTGACGTAATTGGTTGTTAATGTTAACGATTTCATTTATAGCGAAAATTGATATTAGTTAAGCCACTGTTTAAAAACAAGCTCTTAAAAGTCCCAAGCCCTAGATAGACTAATCGAATGAAATCTTACAAATTTATTAGAAGATTTTTTTTTTAATATCTGAGACAAGGCATAAAACAAAAAATTTCAATTACCGCAACCTGATATAAAAATGAATTTAAAAAACAAGATATTACAACAACTGAAGCAATTTAAAATATTCTGATTTGAAGGCAGTTTAAAATATTTTGATTCGATATTTTGATGTTTCAAATATTTTCTAGTTTTTAACCGATAAATCGTTTGCGCTTCGTAAGAACAGCGGAATGATTTTTTAATAATTTTGACGGAAAAAATTCTGGCAATAATCAGTAAAATTAACATAGAATATTTTCATGAACCCTATAAATCTTTTTTTGATAGTCTAGACAATAAAATATTTATTTTTCTAAAAAGAAAGTCCATCGATAAGTCGATGTTTTCTTCGTCTTGAAATTACAATTTGAAAAAATATTTTAGTTGTATCAAAATTAAATTGATGCACATCTAGACATCTGTAAATAGAAAAAACCCGTTAACACTCCAACTTTTTCTAAAGTATACGAGCACCCGTTGGTTGAAAATGCAGTGTTTAATTCTGTAAAACTAGCACTTCCTGTTCAGCAAATATTTTTTTTTCTTAAAAAAAATTTTTTTTTTCTTAACAGTGATCTATTTTTTAGTATAAGAAAAAATGAACGAAAAAATTATTTCAAACTGTTTTCAGACGGCTTATAGGAAATAATGCTTCATACAAATTATATACTATTTTAAAACTGTTCTGATTTAGTCATTCATTACTTTTATGTTAAGTTTTGTCCCTCCAATGCGTTAAATGTCAATATAGAGTCATAATTTTGCAAAAATAAAAAACGTTTTTCCTGCCAATTGCTCCATTGATTTTGGTGAATTTCATTTAGGTGTGAAAAAATATTTATTTTATTTCCCCTTCTTACAGATTAGACCAGATAGCATGAACGAGTTTTAAGAACATTAGATTGAAGGAAATTTGAACAACATTCTTAAATTTGTTTAATTAATAATTCTCCAATCATTTTCAATTATTTATTGCTACCTATGATAGAGTGGAAACACTTGAAAGGAATATTTGTGAAATATGTTAAAGAAAGGACTTCTTTTAGGGGACTCTTATTTGTTTCAAATAATCCTCAAGGCAGAAAATCATGCTGATTTTCCATTGAAGGACCAATATAAATGTGACGGTTACAATCTTGAATTTTCCCCAGAAACAGTTTGATGGGATCATTAAATTTGCCCAAAATCCTAAGTTAGGCATCTTTTCATGTTGGGCCAACATAGCATGCTATCATAATATGATGGATTTTTATAATGAGCCAACAAAGAAATCCATCATGATCCAATATAATTTACTGGTTACCCTTATGATTTTCCACTACAAATCATCAAGCTTTTTGTTGGGACAATCAAGACTGCCCAACACTCCGATATTGAAATTAACCCAACTTTATATGTTGAATCAATCGCTCTCTCTCTCTTCGCTTGGGTTTAGGCTTCCTTCACTTCAAACAGTGGAACTTACCTTTTACATTCCCTAGCTATGATCATTTTAGCTGCTCACCAAAACAAGCAAAGAGAGTATTTTTTCCACCATTGCCGCTCACCCACATCAATTGCCGCACACTCACATTGCTTTAATTGTTTTTTCTACTTAGAAAAAATAATAGACTTTTATTGGTAGTTTCCATTAAATGTATTTCTAATTTATTTAACTAACAATTGGCATTTATAAACAAACAAATTGATATTTTTAAAATATAGTTGCTATGTACAAATAACTTCATGTTGAAAAATATTCGTCACAAAGTATTGTCCCCATGAGATGAAGAATACATCATTATTTAATGTGAAATATAACTTATTCTATACTGAAATAAAGGATGAAGCTCTATTATTAATAGAAAATATTATTTGATAGGTTACTAGTCTAGTAATGGTGAATTAATACTTCCCATAATCAAATAATGGGTGTTGTTGGTTCACCAATACCAAAATATCATTTGAGGGTTGTCCATCATAGTACTAAAATGACATTTTCCATCATGAAATGATGGAATTTGTTGGTCAAAGAATTTCTAACATAACTTGTTGGTTGACCATCACATAGTAAAAAATAATCTTCCAATATGAAAAGATGGAGGTTTGTTGGCCCTTCAAAATCCATTACAATATAACGGTTGGATGATGGTTATCATCAAATAGTGTTGGGCCATCAAGAAACCAGCATAAACCATTAAAATGTCTTGAAGATCCCATCCAGAGTTTTGTCTTGGGAGTTTATATTAGTTAATTTCTACTTATAAATAACTTTAAGTAATTTGCTTCCTTGTAAAGAGCATGCCTGAAATGTCCACAAGAATGACTATTTTTTTAAGAATTCTAACTTTAATGGATCACTTATTAAGTTTGAATTGAAACACAAGCGGAAAAAATAAAAACTCTTTAAGAACTTTGATGTTTTCGGCAATTTTAAAATAGCCAGTAATAATACGTCAACAAGACGTCAAAAACAAGAACATTTTAAATATAAAATTTACCCTACAAGAAAAAAAAATGACTAAAAAAGGAACATTTCAAAAACTTGAAAATAAGTAAGCAAATTTCAAATAAAAGCATTAAGGGCCCTAAAAACAGTTTCATAATCTCAGAATTATTATAACTTGTACGAGCACTGATTTATGGATAAAGCTAAACAACGTGAAAAAGGTACAAAAAATAAGCAGACATACTGTATTTTCAGTTTTATAATGAAGAGCCTTCATTCATGTCCAAACATAGAGTAAATGTATATTTTTGATGTCTGATGACACACGAATATGATTCTATGTCTAAACATTAAACATAGAAAAACGCATAATGATTGAATCCAAACATAGATGATTTCGTAACTATTGAATCTTAACATGGATGAACTCTTAAAGATGGAATCCAAAGAAAGATGAACTCATAATGGCGCATTTAATATCTAATCTGCCCAATAATAATTGCGTATTTTTTCACGAATGGACCTTTTTGAATGCGTTTATTTGTTCCACAAATCGTAAAGACACGTTTACCAGAAGAACATCGAAGTCAAGCATCACTGGTAGAGATCAGTGACCATGTAGATCAGCCTGCGAAGGGACCGTGGGTGTGCAGTATTGGTTCTCATTAAGCTATTCTACCGTAAATATGTACGTAAATCGTCGGGGTTACTAAAGGGGGAGGGGAGCTATCTTCGCTGCTAAGGGTCAAAATAGTGAAGGCATGCACGGAAAAAAATACTGGTAATATAGTGTATGGTAAGGTCATTTTTGTTAAAAAAAATATATATAAATAACTAAATTCTGGTAAATAAAACCAAAATATACGATATTTAAACCAATCATTTGAAAAAATTTCCGAAAAATATAGTACCGGTTTACCAGAAATTCTGGTTTTAAAAATTATAACTCTTAAAGTACTCACTTACTTAGTAAAAAAAAAAAAAAAAACTAAAAAGTAGATTTATCCGAATAAACGGTTTTCATGAACTTAAGATATCTAGTCTTAAGGTATCATCATAAAAATTACAAAATTTTACCAGATTTCTCAAATTTTTTCTCACTGTAAAACCACATTCAATTTTACCAAAACGCTTCGGTAGAAATTATCGAGATATTTCTATAGACCTGATAAATTTTACCATATTTCTCAGTGTGTCTTCGGATCATCCTCAGGGATGTATTGAAACGTACATAAAATACTAATTTGTCTTCTCATTCTGTGTTTGGACACAAAAGAGAGCTCTTCCAAGTAAAACCTGAAACCACTTGTGGTATTTGCGCTTTTTTGTTAAACTTATTTCACAAAATTTTCCCTAATTGAATGACTTTAATAAAGGTGGACAATAAAAATGTCCTTATGCAAAACAGAGACAGTCTGTCAGGATTAGCAAAAGAAACTATGTGAGTCGGAGGAAAATGTAGGCACTGACCTGAGTGGAACTGTCCTCCATAGTTCACCGAACAGGGTCCCTGATCTTTGGTCCACATGAAGTATTTACAACTTTTCGGCCAAACACTATCGCGAACGATATTTTTGTCACTCAGCTCCCTACATAATTGCCCTAAAACAAGGATAAAGGCTTTGTTTGGAATCAACATCATCAAAAACATTAGTATTTTTGGTAATTAATAGACAAAGTAGATAAAAGGTTCTAAGTGACAGGGTTTGATTTACTAAATTGTGGAGAAAGTTTAAAGCAACAAATAGTCGAACATTAAAAAACCTGCCAATGGCAAACGAATTGAGAACGCTATAATACGCAAGTTTAACTGAGTGTTATTGATTTATAAGTTTCGCTAGTTGGTAAAAGAAATATAGGCAGGGCTTGATTTATTTCTTACTGTCAATGTTTAAATGTTAAGGCTATAATTCATTTAGATATCACTTAGAACCTTCATCCTCTCACCTCTTCATTTATCCTTAACTTAAAGTAAAATTTTGTAACCGGTGCTTTTCTTTCAAAAGAAAAATAAAAAAGCCACAGTTTAGGTGCTTCAAACTCGAGGAAAAACTTGTTTTAAGCTATAAGCAGTATGTTCCCGTTAGAATTATCTGGTCTTCATCCCGCATGTAAGAATTATCTGAGCTTTAAAGCTGAAAAAAAGTTAAAATATTCTTAAAAAATTTTCGAAAATTTTAAAATCGCCTATTTGGCGAGATTTTTCGACATCGATAAAAATCAATCAAATTAATGAATAATTCTCAATTTTTGTGAATTCTATAACCCCTGATAACGCAACACAGGTGAAAGTTTCCAAGTATTTAAAATTTAAATTACATATGCTTTTCAATTACACAAAACTGTGGCTTTTTTCATTTTGACATTTTGCACTATTTTCATAATTAGTCTTGGAGTTGTTGGCAAAAGATATGCAAAACGTAACCTAACAGTTATAAATAACTATAAAAATCTAACAACAATTATAAATATAGCCTAATTCTATACAAAAACGCGTTAATTTATCAGACAACAGAGACTTTAAAAATTAGCAAATAACCTAAAAGCTGTTTATAAAAGCTCTTTCGTATTGAATAGAAATTCTATTATAGAAGGAAAAAAAAAGCTATAGCTTTACTGCCTTTAATCTCAAAGTAAAACTTCAATTCTTTTCTAAATATAATATTTTTTTGGAAAAAAAATTAACCTGAATTTATAGATATATATACTGTAAAAAAAATCTCAAAAAGTTACAAGAAAAATTCCGCAATCAAGCTGGTTTTTTTACCGTAGCCAAACAAGTATTTTCAACAAAAATTACAGATAAAAATAAATCTGTTGTCTCTGCAGATTTTCGCCATATGAATAAAAGTTTTCTCTGTGAAAGTTACGAAGTAAACTTGTACTCTCACCAGATGCGGATATTTCACGTTGGTAGAACTAGTCATAACTGAAATTCGAACTTAGGTCTTTTCATTGAGAGGCACATGCTCTGTCCCCTAATCTACTGTGGCTCATGAGCTTTATTATGCAGAAATAGTGATAGTGAGAATTTCGCTTCAATATTGTATCATTTTGACTATAAAGTCGAATCACAATTTTATTTATACGATGATCAAAACCATGAAATTATTGCTGAAAGTAACAGCAAGAATAGAAAATAATTTTAAAATGATTGGATTAAAAAATTTTAAATTATTATAGTATGGAATACAAAACTGTACGCCAAAACTAGAATTGTAACTAACGGCTTTAATCCATTTGTGATTATTGGAAAAAAACGAAATAAAACCGTTGTGCCAACAAAACGGCATTAAACCGTTAAATATACAGAGAAATTCTGAAAAAACTGGTATATATATATATATATACCAGTTTTTATTTGACTCTTTTAATGTTTATAATAATATGNTATATATATATTTATATATATAACAGCTAACTGGTGACTTTTCAAAACAATTGTTTACAACTGTCTCTAAATACGGCTTTAAAAAAAATTCCGTCATTCGGTATTATTTAAGACACTGGGATAACTAAAGATATTAATATATAGGGGAAATTTGGGATCCCATATTTTGCTTCGAAGGTAAAATTTTAAATATTTATTAAGATAATTTCATCAGAATTTCATAATTTTGATCACTGAACTCATATTTTTTTAAAATTAAACTCTCTATGAATAATTTTAAGCTTTATATCAACTAAAACTTTTATATGTATGCACCAGAAAGTATTCGATTTATTTATGTATTTTTAAATTCATTGATTTTGAATTCAAAACACTAAATATGTAGAACAATTAATATTTTTATTTTAAATAATAAATGCTTCAAACAATAAATGTATACTTATTTTAGCCTTTTACTACCCCATCACCAACAAACATAAATCGAATATTGAATTCTCATTGCTGGCTTTAGTTACCCCATATTAAGAGGTAACTTAAGCCATCATGTTTAAATTTCGTTTTTGTCTTAAACATACATTCATATATGTAAACCAAAAGTGTAACTGTAGACCCAAGTTTTACGACTAATTTATCTCAAGAGTTAATGATCTTGAATTATCATATATCTTAAATTGAAAAGCGATTTGAGTAACCCCTAGTAACTGCAGATTTAGAGTCCAAGATATTTTTTAAAACGCATTTCCAGTAACACCCTTTAATAAGCACACAAAATATGGCAAATTTTCTATGAGACATTAAAAGAATTTGAAAAAGAATAAATGTTGACAAATTTTTATGAAACCAAAAATATATTTTTTGAGCCAACACATTATATTTTTTTATTTATATATTTGAATAAAATAGACATGCCTTAATGTGCCTTTGAAAAATTTGAAATTTTTACTTTTGAAAAAAATTAAACATAATTTTCAGTCACAAATTGTATATTCTATTTCTTTTTAAAACGTTAATGTTTAAAATCAGAATAACTTTTTATCAATTTTGTAAAGGTATATTAAAAATTATATTCCAAATGAAATGTAATTATCTCTCGTAGTTTCTAAGACGCATAGTTTTAACAGTGAAAAAAATTATTATTGAGCAAAACAAATTCTCCACATGCTGATTAATGCAAAGAGAAAATAAAACTAAGTATTATCTTTGTTTCTACAATACAATTACAAAACAAATACAATCGTTTCACTATTTGTAAGAAAATAAAATCCACTAGAACAATTTTAGGATACCATTGAAAATTTAAAAAAGCCTTCTAATAAAGACTAGTGAATGCTATCAGAGACTGAGAGAGTTATAAAATCTTCTCATTCAAAAATTTATGGTCATCGGTACCGATGTCATAGCTGATAAAAAAAGCTTTAAGAAAAGAAAAAGATAGCAATATATATATATTTAAAAATAATTTTTTTTGAGAGTGTCTTCACACTATTGTATTGATATATATTGATACAGTATTAGAAAGCAAAGTATTAGAAAGCATTGTTTTGAAATCGTGAGAGCTGATAAAGAGATTATATCTTTTCATTTTTTTGTTTTCGAATTTTTTAATATATTTTTTTTAAAATGTTTTGCTTGAATATTTTTTTTTCTCTTTTCGTTAATCGTTATTATTTTCCACGTTTTCTTTCTCTATATTTTTAACTTGTTTTATAAGTTAAATATATATATCTGATAAATTTTACCATATTTCTCNTCGAATTTTTTAATATATTTTTTTTAAAATGTTTTGCTTGAATATTTTTTTTTCTCTTTTCGTTAATCGTTATTATTTTCCACGTTTTCTTTCTCTATATATACATGCACTTTTATTTTTATTCTTTTTGTCTTTATTGTGTCATATATATAATTAAAATATATATTTTTATACATATAACTACTATGAGTAACGGTAGGCATTTGGTTTTCTGAAACAATAATTTGAACCGATTTTAAGTTATTGTCTAGCATAAGTGTATTAAGTTATTGCCTAGCAAAGAATCGAACAAACACACGAATTATTTTTAAATCACACAGAATTTTATGAAAGTGAAATCAAAATAATTACATTTTCACATGAATCTTTCTTCGATTAATTAGATTGCTTTGATTAATTGGAACTACCTTTCAATATGCTTAACCCTCGGGATGTCATGTATGCATTCCGCATTTTTTCCCTTATAGAAAACCAGTTTTCTAATGCTATTACATAGGGAAATAGTGTATAGGAAAGAAACCCAAATTTAGTAACTTGGAAAACCTGTAGAACATCGAAATCATTGCCTGCAGAATACATCTTCAGTAATTAGACAAAAGCTATGTTAAACTTGATCTTCGTTACTTTGGTTGTAAAATAGAGGGATTATGCACTTTCACTTAACCATTTCGCACTCTCGCATACTTATGTTTTTTGCATGCTATGTAGAGAACTAAGATTATTTTGCTGTACCTGTGGTGCGCAGAACCTGCGTGAAAATGCAAAAACTCTCTTAAAATAAATATTTCCCGTGTGACACGTTATAAGTTCACAAACGAATACCCTTTTCAGATCTTAACGGTGAAACATCGTATTAAAAAAAATAATATTAAATAAATAAATAATACAAATTTACAATGTTTTTCTTCATTTAGGACAAAAATTCAAGAATGGATAAAATAAAATAAAAAATGAAAGAAAATACAGTTTCCTTCCTAAATGCTGACACACCCGTTTACAGTAGAATATTTTTAAACAATTACTCCATAGTGCGTAAGTAATACAAATATGGCAGTAGGTTTAAATTTATTCAAAATGGCTATCCACCTCAAATTCTGATACTTCAATGACTCATTCTACCAAACAGAATCCACATAGGTTCTATTTCCTTCAGGGTACCCAAATAATGAATGTTAACAGTGAATAATTTTCCCATTAAGTGAATCCCATGAATAGAGCCATCGCTTTGGAGCACTTCTGTGTTCTGATTCAGAGACCAACCGAAATCGGCATGTCAAGACAATGATTTCAGTCACTCTTGCCCTTACTTTTTTTTTAAAAAACTTTCTTTTATATTTTACTTTGCAATTGAAAATTGAACAAAAATGAATGTATTTTCGTTATGATATCTCTTACAAGGACCGTTTGAGTTAAAATCTATAATTTCTGTTTCAACATGACTTTACAATTAATTTATTTCAG